CCACTTACAACTTTTTGTGTTGTGTTATGTTATGTCTTAACGCTGGAACTCATCCTAAACAGCTTACTATTATTTTAACAGCATAGATTCTTTATAAATCAAGAATAATGTTCAAACTGCAGTGATATTTACTAGCCCTCGAGCGTTCCTGTAGATGCAAAAAACTTTGATAACAATAAAAGCATTTTCAACAAAAGCAAAAATAAATTCGATAAAAACTAAAACAATACAAATTAAGAAATAACCCTTTAATTTAGAGTACTTACTTTCGTTTAAAGTAAAGTCATTCTCAAAGGGGGAGAATGACTTTTCTTTAAATGGAGTCAACTCCAAAACATTTGGAGTTGAGTTCTCGTTTACTACTTGGGTTGACAGTTGACACCAATTCAAAAAAAGATTTAAGTGACGTATAAATTAATACTAAAAAAGGAAACATCCAGCGGGCCTAAGCACAGACAAGATTCGAGCCTGCATCTTCCCGGATACCGGTAGTTGCAAAAAATGTTACACAGAACAAGTTTCCAATGGCAAATGACGATTTAATGTAATACAAAAATGTTCTCTACGTTTTATTTAATTTTTTGGCAGAATAGTCTTGTTAATACTTTTTCTTTTGCATTAGTGTGACTTAAAAGAAAGTACGTACGTACCTATGAAACTGGAAGCCCTCCAACGCGTTAGCCACATTGTCATTGTCAATCATTTAACATGTATCAACTGTCGCCACATTGAACATTTCTCTATCTTTTAGCTAAAAATATGTTTTAAATCTTTATGCATTTAACTCATTAGCTATTTATCTTTTTGGATACCATAGTCTTGCTAGGGTGAATTGATATAACAATAACAGTACTTAGATTATGCAGTAAGGGGATAAAGCAGTGTATTTTGTTACAAGCAGCACATTGAATTCGGAGCGAAACGAAGGATTCCTTCGTTATTCCCGACGAAACGAAATGTTAGGATTTAATATAATTAGGTATATTTAATAGGCACAATACATTTAATATTCACAGGAAGTGTGTTGACAATATACAGTGTTATTGAAGTGAAAATTCTTTACGCACGCGTGACTTGGGGGGTAAGCTGGCGAATGCGTTACGCGTTATGAAAAGTGTGTTCGGGCGAGGCGAACGGGAGTTGAGTGGGGGATATTAGCTAGAGAAAGCAGTGCGCGCAAAAAATGTCTCTCTCTCTTTCTCTTATAGCTAGCTTTATTCCTTGGTGACTTGTATTTAAGTACACCTTTGGCGCCATTTAAATATTGCTTGTCTACGATGCGCAAAAAATTTCGTAGCAGTATTTACTACGAGTTAGCGTAGTTTGACGCCTCAGCGGTGTATCGCTCGTTTTGAAAGCAGTTCGACGTTGAAACACCAAGCAAGACGACTATTTATAAGTAGGTAAGTAGTTATAAAAATTTAAACGCGGTCGTGACAATTACAGTGATGAATTTCGTGATGTATAGGTCCAGCCACCGCTGTACACACCAAAAAAATCGATTACAGCGTCAATTTTGATCGATGACGATCATCAAAACAGACGAGAAATTGACTTACCATAAGATTCGGGCATTCTTAGGCATAGGCGTAAGTCAGATCTATGGGGTAGGGAAATGTCAGGGTAGTTTTTAGTTTTAGTTAAAAACTAAAAAATATCAGGGTAATCGTCTATCTATAGCAATAAGTTTTTTTTTGCCACTCTTTTAATATAAAAAAAGAAGATACAATCAAACCTACAAAAACATTTGTCGTTCAAGAAACTATTTTATCGATGGACCCCACTCAATTTTGCGTGATTTCACTGAGACTGAGAAAATTGGCTTGGTGATGAAAAAAGTATAACCAGAAAAGTAAAAAAATATTTACATATTCAGCTGCTTTCTTCATCAGAAGAAGCTGTTGAAAAGTAAAATGAATTAAACTTAACAAAAAAAAAACAAATAAAAATAAGATAGAAGAAGAGTGGTGCATCTTTAGAACGTAGAAATAAAAGCCATGTTTGTGTTGCAAGTAAATCATAAAGAAAGTATAAAACACTAGAGTTGAATGAGCGAATTTTAGAGGACGAATGACCTGAGAATAACAGTTTATTATTGGATACTTACCTTGATGATGGAGTGATGCATTTCAAATGTATAAGATTATTTTTCACAACAAAGAAAGGTCAAAAAACTCTTTACCTCACAATAATAATTTATGTTATAAATAATTCATCGGGTGTGTGTTTTATTTTAAATGTGTCAATACAAATAAAAAAGAATTGCAAAATTTTTGACGAGTAAACTGCTATTTGGAAACTTCCATGATGCAGAAGGTCGCCCACGTAGTGTTTTATAAAGAAAACTTCTAATTATCGAAATTCTGTTCTCACTTTGATCATGTTTAAATTCGGCGCCTGCTTGAAACATTTTAACATTATTCAGCTGTAATTTTGTATTGAACATGTTGTCCAGTTTGCATTTCCTTTCATCTATTTCTTTGGGTTTGAAAAACAAAATAAAGAATAAATGATTCAAATAGTTCATGTTGCATTAGTTCAATCAAAATCTGCTACAGTTAAATGGCCAAGCCACATATTTTGATTATTGTTTAGGTTGGGTGTAGTAGTAGGTTAGAAGCTTGGCTCTACATGAGATCTGATAACTTCTTGATAGTGCGAGTCATATGGTCTCTCATTTTACATGAAAATGTTTTTGGAGGGATTTGCTATTGTTAAAAGATATTTTTGTAGCGTGCCTGTGTAAGAATTAAATTTCCCGGTATACACATTATCCAGTACTCTACAGTTTTTCGTAGGAACAAACCATTGGCTATGATGACAATAAGAATATTTTGAAAAAGTAGTTTTCACTCTAGCAAGACTATGATATATTGAAAACGTTTACTCAGAAACACACTTTTAAACTTTTTTCATTATAACGTTATATTTAAACATGTTATAAATAATGCAGCCAAACCTAGACTAACTGATCTCGAGTTTTGGTGACATATGCAACACGTTCTATCAATATGAGCTAATGGACACTGATGAGTACCATCAGTACTGTAATCATAATTTCAGCGAATAATTGTAATAAAAATACTTTGGTGTTCGTCGCTTTTAGAGATGAGTCCCTCACTCGTGAGGAGCCTTGTTTGAGTTCCTCGTCGCGACAGAATACGAAAAATACTTGTATTTCAACTTTGAACCACCACATTTACCTCCTCATTTTCGGCGAGGGCGAGGCGCGAGCACATTTTATTTGCTTTTACTCACTGATGCACGCACTCACGAGGAAAAATGAGGACCTCTCTCATCCCCAATAAAAAAAAAGGAGTTACACATCACTGGTCGTTTTACATGTGTTTAATCAAAATCTTACTTGGTATACAGTCGCTTAAGAGCCCTTTCACATTTTTTGCAAAAATTCGTAATATTTGAGCGCCTCGTTTACCCCCTTAGAAAAGATTTTGACAATTTCCAATAGAAGTAAACAGTGGATTTATTCTTCATATTGTAAGTTAATGTAGAGTATTTGCAAATACTATTTTCCTTTTTTTGCTAGTTAGCTAGCTAGCTAGTTTACGGAAAAAACGATGATATGCACAAATTCAAACGCCTCAATCTCTCAATAATGTTCAATAAATTAGAACAAATTAATTAGTATGACATCAGAAATATGTTTTTGTTGTAGCATAATCTATTAGAATTTTGATTTTCTATCTCATTAATTACCAAAAAATACATCTAATCTCCGTGAGTTTTCCTAATAAATAATGCAGATTTACCTCGTATTTTGATATAGAATTAAATAGAATTACTATCAAAAACTTTCATAAAACTAATCTACCATCATTGAACTACTGAAATATGTATATATTTTTATAATTAGTTCATAAATAATTATTTTATAAGACTCGAAACATCACCCGTAAAATGCAATATATTCTAGTGCAAATCTGCCTACGCCCCGATCAGTACGGCAGCGGCGCAATTTTGTAAAAGGGCTTTTAACATAAATCTTTGCTAGGTCCTTAAATTAGAGCGGACCGTAGTAATAGTTATAATATAATTCAATTAATTTAAAAGAAGTCTGAAAGACGCCGTATTTTCGTTTTTTTACTGAACTGTTGATTTGATTTAACAAAAAATATAAAATCGGGTGAGAACTCTATTAGTTACAGACATCTCGTCATTGAAGCTGATCCATGGCAACTTCGCTCGCTCCAATGCGATTAAACAATACGCGTTATAGATATATCTCATAACAATAATCAAATTATTTTAAAGGTTCACTGTGGATAACTTATTCTTTATTATTATGAAACAAAAGAACTTCCTTCGAATGCAAAACCAAACATATTCATCATCATCAGCCTATTAATGTCCCCACTGCTGGGGCACAGGCCTTGCCTATGGATGGAATAGGGAGATTGGGCCATGACCCACCACGCTGGCCCAGTGCGGATTTGTGGGTGCTAACGACTGCAGATGCAGCCGGGACCAACGGCTTAACGTGCCTTCCGAAGCACGGAGGAACTCGAGATAGTAAATTTTTGGTCACCCATCCAATGACCGACCACTGCGAAAGTTGCTTAACTTCAACGATCGCAGCTGATCGCGCTAACCACTTGCGCCATCGAGCTCCTCTATAACATATTATTAATTATTATTCTCTAAAAAGCTTCTTTAGGAATAAAAGTGGAATGCTAGTACGACCTAGGAACTGTAGCAGAGTAGCCACTTAACACGTAGCCACGTGTTTAGGTTTTCCGACCACAGAAAACCTATTAACCTAATCTTACCATAGCTGCCGCTACACAACACTGTAAGCCCCTATTGCTTAACCTTGCTTGTTTACGTTTTTCCTGACCACGTTTTGGTCTAAAAATACTATAGCATCCTGCCGTTTGAGCCCAACGCTATTGGTCAGCACGAACGAAGGAAACCGAGGAGGACCCGGCGCGAGGGGGCACGCACTACCGCCGCCCGCGCACCTCCCGCTATATATGAAAGTATTCGAAAGCCGGACTCGCGTGGATTAGCAGAAAATAACCCTGAACGGTGGAATCAGCAGATCCGCTCCCAGTCGTGTTGTGCGTCTCATAGTGTTAACAAGTGACATCAAACATGGTTCTGGACACAGAGGACTGGGTAGGTGTTTGGGATTTTTTTAATCAAATTATGTGCCATACTGCCAACTTCTGTATCTTCCTGCTGTAATTTTAATGTGCAGTCCTTCATGAATCCTAAAAGTTTCTCCTCAATTTATATGGAGAAATTTATGGTTAAATAATCGAAGTTAAATACCCGAAAAGCTTAACAAAACTGGCGAAACCTTGATCATCAAAGAAAGTTCACGCCGCGTGAGACGCGATACACTTGAGTGGACGCTAACAGAAGCTGTCACCGAAGTAGTTACTTATTGGTTGAAACATTTCATTGAAGACGACCAAACGGCTTCGTTGAACGTATGTTTTATTTTCTGTCAAACCAAGAATAAAAACAAGTATCTTGAAAAAAGTAAATGAACGATTAGATTTTTTTTTAGAATTAAAAGCAAAATAATCCGAATCTTAGAATATCATCTTAATTATCAAATAACATTTAGTAAAGGCTCTATCTAATATCCAACTTTTTAATGAAAAGCGTAAAAGAAACGGGAAAATTAACTCATCATAATATAGGGAAGAAAAATAGCTAGCCAAGAAAATTATGATAATATATTTGACAATAATTGAGGGTCTTTTAAAATCAAGACTTTGATGATGATGCTTTTAAGTCTATGTAGAAAACAAACTTTCCTAATTGTACCGGTAATTGGGTGTGGCATTTCGTTTTCTGTCTGATATCCATAGGTTATTTATTATTTTACCATTAGCTTCAGAATATATCTAAATCACGAAGGATAACATTTATAAACTGTGTCATTATTGATTATTTTCATTGTTTTTTTGACATAGGTTTTAAATTTGACTAAATTTTGGTATTCACCATTATTACATTCGAATATCATTGTATGTCTTTTGAGAGTTCGTCGAGAGAGTTAATTCTATTTGTTGTTATCTGGTAAATATATAAAATAAACTTATAAATTAGTCTAGTATGATTGATGATCAATGATAGAAGTCACCTTATAGGCAAAAATGTTCTGTGCCAAGTAACTAAAAAGTTGCCTTTAGTGTAAGTATTTTATGTCTTTGTGTAGTATGTTTGACTTATTATTGTTTTGTAAAATGTAAAATTTTGTTAAAGTTAATATTTATTAGAAACGATCCTTTATTTTGAGTGGTATGTAATGAAAATCGAATTTGAGTTCTAGCTTTAAGCTTGTAGATTAACTTTTTCTTAAGCCTCTTTCAAACTTTAGGTGAAGGCCTCCTTCAGAAATTTTATGCGCTTTGAAAATCCGATGCTTATTCTTCCAACCCAAAAGTAAATCAATATGGGACATTCTGCAATAATCACAAGTAGGTACATATTTTAGCTGCAACCAATGGTTGCTATGGAACTCGTAATCTTGCAATACCAAAGTTTCTATTTCTGTTTCAATTGCACATAAAATAAATGTATTATACTTTAGAATGCTCCGCTCCGCTGGAAACTGGTCTTTATGACCCACCTATTTACACTATGCGCGTACGCGTTAAAACATTATGCAACCGTTTACCAAAATACATAATACAGTGGAAAAATCATGTCTAATGACCGGATATATAAAGAGTCGTCGTATCCTCCGTCATTTAAAGAAACATTTTTATTACAAACTCTTTGATTCATGGTTACTTTACATTTGATGGGTATTTCGGTCATTCTCACTACAAGGTATAATTTTCGTCACGATTTTTAATTTTCTTTAAATTCCTTGCACCGACAATAAAACTTGAAAAACACGTTTAACTTTATAAATTTGTGTATTTACTTTAATCAACTATTTACTTTTGGATTTATGAAGTTATATACTTTTGGGCGTTACGAAAATTAGATTCGCTGTGACGGAGATTAAAGAATTGCTCAATAATAATGAATTTCTTTTTTAGTAAAACATACATGGAAATTATCAACTTACAAAAATATTGTTCAGATGTAAATGGCCAAAAGATTTGTTGTCCTTCGTTACCACAATAGATTTGAGCAGGAGTCTTTATTTTCTGTATCGGAAATTGAACAAATCAATTTCTAAATAGTTTTTTTTATTTGTTTTTCAATGCAAGGTTTTACATTACAATCACTTCATCTATGTCATTAGCAATATTTTCTACTAAGAAATTTTCAATAGGTGAAAAATTTTCTTTAACCAAAGTTCAACGACTATTACTCCTTAACTAACAATTCTATATTAACCGTTATAATTTTCCTTAAAAGTTAATGGAAAGCACTAGTATCATTCCAAGGTTTCTTTAGAGGTTTCCTTTAAGAGAGGGGAGGGGGAGCCCTACTCCAAAAAAATATTAGCGCTTTAAAGTTCAATATTTAGCAAACGGATCCCTTAAACGAAAAATAGTCTTAGAAACCCCTAAGTAATTTTAAAGGAACTATTCAACGATATCCTACACGATAGGGTAGATGATGAAAAAAACATCCCCAGATTAAATGTTACCCTAAAAAAACTATTTTTTAAAAATTTATTCTACCATTTTGTCGACGTGATTCATATACATATCTCCAAAAAATTACAGCTCTCTAGTGCTAATAGTCTCCAAGAAAAAACGGGAACGGACAGACGGACATGACGAAACTATAAGGGACTAAGGAACCCTAAAAAGGAATCTCGGTAATTTGATCATACAATCAGCTCAGTCGGCGATAATCGATTCATTCACTACGTATGTTGTGATAGAATAAAATAGTAACAAATAGCGGTTTTAAGGCATTTTATATTTATCTTCACGTTTAGCGTGATGGAATTGGGTGACGGAAATTAGGAACACGTGGTTAGTTTTTAATTATAAAAAAATGTTAATCATGTCGAATAATGCTTTAAGGATGAATTCAACGTTTCATTAATTTATGCATAATAATCATTTAACAGAAAAAAACAGACATTATAAAATTATAGAGGCAAACGGAAATTACATTCTTATGTTATTATGTGCGACAGCGAAATACTAGACGTCAACCGCTTCGGTAACTGATACAACTACTGGCGTATTCCTAATATGTGATATAAAAAGGTATAATTTACTCAAATAATGAGATATTCAGAATTTCTTAACTAGTGACAGAATTGGGTAAAATGAAAGCATATTTTTCTTTATATTTTAATATATTTACTTGTTAGACTGATTATATTTATTTTAATTGGCAAAAATATCAATCTTTTTTCAAAATGTATTCAGAGTCCAAATAAGCTATGATTAACAGCTTATTTTGGAAATATTAAAGGTGAAGAATGTGTGAATTTGGATACTGGACAGCTAATGGAAATTAGGGGACAGAAAAAAAATCGATGATGTTTTACCAAATAAAGTGTAGGTATAATTACATTTTATTTTAAATAATTGCTAGAACAAATCCCAAAAAAAATAATCATCCCCAAAATATTACAGACTTAGTACATATTTGCATGGGCACTCAAAAATCATGTCAACTGAGAATGATCGATTTACAGCAATACAACCCAAAAAATACAATTAATGCTAAAATAACCTTAACATTACATTACCTACTATATTTTTAGGTGAAAATTTATTATTTTTTGTAGATCATCAAATATTTCCCACTACTATAGAGTACGAATAAAGTCATTCTACAGTTTTTCTTGAAGTGGAGGTCACTTCCCCAGAGGAGCGAATTGAATTTCAATTTGAACGTATTGTAGGTTTGTGGGAGTAATGTATTAATAGAATGATGATGTTCTGTTACGTGTGGTTCGAAAAATTTTTTATAGTAAAAATTTCTATAAATTCAAATAGGTGTGAAATTACTTAATTTTAATTATTATATAAGTTTTAATATTAATATTTTTATTTGCAGGCTGATGAGCTCCCCCCAGAACAAATTGCCGGTAAGCAAAAACCACTTTAGTTTTTTTGAAATACCATCGGGAATCTGACACATTTCCGGGATAGAAAGTATCTTGTCTCAATCCAGGTCATAAGCTATGTGTGCACCAAATTTCATCCAAGTCCGTTCAGTAGTTTTTTCGTGATTGAGTAACAAACATACAAACTTTCACATCTAGATATAATATCAGATATAATATTAGATTGAGAATTCTTTTAAAATAAAAAATAAGTCTTAAAATATACTTAAACGTAAATAAATAGATAATCAAGTGCATGTTTGGCACCCGCCCAGTTAGGGTACAATAGTGTTTATAATAAACTTTCAAGGACTATTATAAATAATAATTAATAGCCCAAAAAAATCGCATCTGTTAAGCAATTAGTCATCCAAAAATAGCCTAAAACCAACTGCAGAGGGCGTGGCCCCTGAAAAAATGCTATTTTTAACGAAACTGCGGTGGGCGAGCAATTGGTATACAACTTTATTCTGAGGCAGCAACATTATTTTCGTTATACTATTAAAAATGATTTTATTTGAACACTCAAGAGATAATATACGTTTATTAATGTACGAGTTAGTATAACTCTTATTTAGAAGAAAGTTTGAGTAATTTTACCAAATGTTTTTAAGAAGTTGTAGCTTTATATTTTTTTAGAACAGTATGAAACTTATTTTAAAAGGACATTAAAAAAAGGGAAAAATTATTTACAGGCATTTTGAGGAATTCACCAATTGGGGGGGGGGGGGGGGGGGGAGGGGGGAGGGAATTATCGCGATTTTCGGAAAGTATAACTATAAGTAGTTACGTACTTATTTACAAGAAGAAGTTTTCAACATTTGTTTTGTTTTTGTTACCTAAAATTATGGGTGTATTCCTATTAAGTAAATAGGTACATAACTTTAATACGCCTTAAAATTTATGGTCTATATAAGTAATTTAAATATTCGAATGTTGACAGTTACAATAATTCTTTATTCATTCGGACACTCTTTCACGCTAACTAATAACAAAAACTAATTTTCTACCTCGGAACATCGAGGTGACACACGACTGTCGTTTGAGTGACAGCAGTTAGTTTAAGACATTTAAGTATGGTGTACACAAGAGGCAACCGGAAAATCTATCGTGTTAATATAATGAGCATAGTGTAAACAATTTTCGTGATGATTGATTACTACTATGGAGCTGCCTCGTCGAGGTAGCCCTTATCTTGAACTCAATATGTAAAAACTAGATTATCCAAAAAGAAATAAATTAAGTTAGATAATATCAATCGCATCGTTGAAGTTATCTTTTATGGAATCATAATAAACCTTCATTAGGAAATAAACACTACAAGAAAAGCTCCTGAAACATTTATACAACTTTGATAATTATATACGGAACCTGAAATGGATCATACCGGTTACAAAAAGGTGACTAAATAAAAGCACAACTAATAACGGGCAATGATACAATTAATCCTAAATTTTAAACTAAACAAAAACGAAGAAGGGTGATAAATGAAACTTTAATGAACAAACAAGGTACATGGTAACAATCCCGTTAATAGCTATAATGTTAGTGACCATGAAAGTTTAAAACAATATAAATTTAATGAAGTTTCACTCGCGTATGAATTTGGCACTACTTGCATTATTTCTCAATCAAGTAACTTGACCTCAATCGTAAAATAGAACAAGGGTAGTAGTATCAATTAACAATAATGAATGCGCTATCAGGCAGGGGGAATCTTAAGTTTGCGCGTCTCGACACACGCGCGCAAACGCCACGCCACACGCTTGGCTAACAGCCAATGCGCCATGGAATCGCATCAACCGTGTTATCATTGTTTGAGCAATAAAGCTTCGGAAATTTCTCAGAAACTCACTAACAATATAATGGGCACTTCTAAAATTATACCTTGACTAATTTAATGTATACTGTTTGATGTTTACACTTTTCATTTAGTTTGTGTTAGACGAGCGTGTGTATGTTCAACTCCACTTTTTAACGTAAACCAACATACGTTTTTGTAAGTGTTACAGCTGTTTGCGCTGTAAATGCAGACTTCTCGTATTACTACAGTTTATAAATAAAAACCAAAATGGGAATGTAAAAAGTTATATTACCTGCTTAGGTTATTGTATAAATCTTATCTATAATATAAAATCCTTGACAAAAATTCTTACCAGCGTCTTGATTTCTATAGTTACTTATAAAAAGTATTTTTATAGGAGAGCTATGTAGACACAAATAGATAATAATTATGTATGATAAACAACTACAGGGAAAGAAAAACTGTAGGTTTATTACAGTTTTAATTCGTGTACGCTATTTGTCACGGGTACCTACCGCCGGCCGCCTACTCTGGTTTAAATAAAATTCTGTCGCCTACAATAAAATTTAGTGCAAAACGGCCGCTCCATGAAACGAGTATTTGCCAAGAGGCTTAAATTATTCTTCACTTATATTATTAAAGATTGAGAATGTCAGCCAAGTGCACAAAATATTTTACATTTCACTGCAACTGTACCCAATGGTCTCGAATATTATATTTCCGTTGCTTTCAAAATATATACCTATATATAAGCTTACGTGTAATATACATATATACATCACGTCACATCAAAATATTAGCAACTCAACCAGGCTTCGAATGAATACATTTTACAAATGACAAAAATTGGATGCTGTCGTTTAAATATTAGGTTACCAATTAAATTGGCGAGTTTCATGAAATAAGTTAACACCCTTTTTTCTATATTTTTAATTTTTATTAGTCAAAGTAATTATTCATGCATGCCGTTGCCAACGTAGTGGTAGCTTATTGATGCCCTTTTGAATAAGTCTGCTGGACGGAAGGCTACAAATTCCTAGAACAACCTATTACCTAAATAAACAAATCAAAGCAAATTACTCCAAAATATATATCTAATAATTTACAATCGCTGTTTCCTTTTTCGAAATGTTTATTTCGTTTTTCATTGTGGGTTACCTACAATGCGAAGAGATGGAACCTTGCTACCAAAAGATACACAACACCACCAAACTGTACTATTGTTTTACTGAGGTCTTCAGTAAGGTAGAGAATCCTTGCGTTGGGCGGCGCCGGCGCACCAATTGAGGCGTAAAACTGATAGTGTATACTAATACAAAAACATTATCTAATTTCCTAGTTCCCTGCTGGCTATAACAATATTTTTTTTCATATAATCCTCGTTTTTGGGGTATGAAATATGAGTGAACACATCTAAGTATTTCAGAGATATGGCACAGCTGGTATTGAGCTCCAATTGGGTCCCGCCCGTCTGGGGATGTAACCTCCAGTTTTCAGGTCTGTATAGTTAAGTTTCTAGAACTCTATGGGGTTGGGATGGGAACTACGATAAGCGACGCGCGAGGGATAGTATGGTATCGTAAATATATTTAAGCTGTCTATAGTCATATAGTGCCAGCTTACATCATGTTTTTACATTTACATAAAATTCAATGAAATAATCAGCCAAATCTGTCTAGCCGTTCTCGAGTATGACTCTCTTCATTCGTACCTTTGACATTTATTTTTTTATTAAAAGAGAACATACATTTGGAAATGTCGAATCGTATTTCGAGATAATATATAACTAGTGGTACACAAGCGGGATTTTTTGGATTTACTCGAGCGCGACAGATTCCCGATATTTCGGCACTGTTACAAGTGCTATGATCACGGAGTAACCAGTCAGTTACTCCGTGATCGTGGCGCTTGCAACATTGCCGAAATATCGGAGACTCATAATAAACAAGGTACATGGTAACAATCCCGTTAATAGCTATAATAATATTGAAGCAGTCGGGTTTTTAGATTTATTAATTTTATCTTCTTATTTCACACTTTTTAGTTAGGATTATAAGACGGTTTATACCGCAGTCTTGTCACTTCACTTCAGTAAGGGAGTTAATATGGCGGGGATTATTAAATACCTTACGGTGTTCTAAAAGATTGATTTATTAAGACACTAGTGGTCCGCCCTCACGTCGCTTCGGTGTAGAGCTGTAGTGTAGACTTATAGTTTTTGTTCTCAGGTTTGTATTATACACAATGACTTTCTTTATGTAATAAACCGTTCATGAAACTTTATTTAACTGATAGTGAAAATTTTGTGGTGTAGTTTAGGACCAATTGTACTGAATGCACCATTTTTTGGTTGAACGCGCAAATCTCAGGAACTAATTGTTCGATTTAAAAAAAAAAATGTGTTATATAGTGCATGTCTTAACAAAGCCTTAAGGTTATATATTATTACGCTTCGACCAGTAGGAGCAGAGTATCAATGTAAAATGTTGAAAAACGGGTAAAAATATTCCATTTGGGAAATTCCTTTGCTTGCGCTGCGTAAATGATTTAAGTTACACAAAAATCATATATTACGAAATTATTCCCCTTTGAAATTTCTTTAAATAAGTCTGCAACAGCATATGCCCATCATTTTAGGTTGACTCACTATAACCTTTTTCTTTAAATTAACGCGGGTAACCCTTTAATTGTGACATAACTGTAATAGTTAGACATATGATATCGCGGACTTTTTTGTAGATATTTATGTCCTCTATAAAATATATAATATAAAATTTTAGTACATCACTTTACTCTTTGTCAATGACTTACGCAGCGTAAGCGATATTAGGATATTTTTTGAGGATTTTTGTCACCCTGGGTTACATTAACGATTTTTTCATAAGAAACCTTATTTTTTTTTAAATACTCTATAGCATATAGTCATCAGGAAAAATGTAGGATTCTGAATGTGTCAGAATTTTTCAAATCGGTCCAGTAGTTTCGAAGCCTAATTAAAAAAAAAACAAACAATCAAATCTTTCCTTTTTATAATATAAGTATAGATATAAAGATCTTACCACCAGGGTCAAGGCTACAGATGGGCCTCAATTTTCGCAAAAATGTGGCAAGTTTAATTAAGTCGTTATCTATATATCTAATGCGTGTAAATTTTATAGTTACCTAGTACTTATTCAAA